CATAGAGACTGAAATTTAATATTTAATAAAAAGTTGAAAATTGTAATTTCTCATAATTATATATATGTGTGTACACACATATACACACAAAGAGATTGAGATAGTTTGATAGAGAAAGAGAAATAGAAAGAGGTGTATAAGCACAGTTTTCATGCAGTGGTGTTCATCTAACCATAGAAACATGAACTTATCGATACATATAACATTCCCTTTAGGATGTAATAAAGATTGTTTATCAATTGTTCTAGTCCAAAATGATAGGATTTAAAATGTGTTATAAGAGTAGAGATTTCTCAAAACTTTTTGGAAAAACCAAACATGTACACACATGTGCACATACATACACACATATTCTATTTACCATATGAGTACAACATAATTAGCCTGACTGAAACACTTTAAATTTAGAAAGTAATTGTCCTAGACATTGAAATCATTACAATTAAAGAAAGTCTACCTTGGCAGTCTGGAAACCAATGAAGTGAGAAATGTAAAGAAGGTAAATGGTTTTTCAAAACTCAAATTTAAGCTATTCAAAGTTTAGACAGTTACATGAGGGTTAGAAATATTTTATAGATAGGATGAGAAGAGTGTTAAATTCTCAAGTTAATTTTTTTTTCTCTTGTTCAGGGTCTAGATTTCCCTAAACACTGGTTTCTTCCTATCCAAATGGCAAATGCATGCTTTCTTTGTGCTCAAGGTTACATTTTCCAACCTAAACTTATTCATTCAATAAATATTGATTCCTTGTATGCACCCAGATCACTATTGGTAATACAACCACACACTCAGCCATTAATAATGTAATCAAACTGGTGTTTGTATAATTGTAATCTAAGATGAATGCTTGGATGGTAAAGGATAGCTAGTTTATGTATCTGTCTACCTACTTACTTGCCTATCTGTCTTCCTTCTTCCCTCCCTCTCTTGGTCTATACTTAGATGGATGCTGAGTTTTGAGCAATCTACACTATTATAAAACATATTTAAGAGTCATGTAACTTTTATACTTCTAGCATGTTCACACTGCCTTATCACTTTAGTGATAAGCTGGCAAATCTGAAAATCTTTATTTCCTCTCAGTCAGTGTTGGTACAATTTAATATTTCCCCAGGATGCTACTAATGCCAAGATTATCCTCAAGATAATCTAAATGTTTTTCCAAATACATGATTAGATATTCTGTGCAATATGATAAAGTATTATCCAATATTCTAAGTTTAAACCTGAAAAAAATAAAACCCTTTAATCATTTTCTACCATTTCCCTTTATTACTACTACTAGTAGTAGCAGTAGTAGTATTTAATTTTTCATCTGATCATGATTCTCTTTCCAGGATGAAGTATTAACTAACTTTTATATTCACTTGCATGCTTCAGCATATTAATGTGTGTACATTGTATGTGTTCACAGGTGAATCATGTTTGTGCACATGCCTGCATCTGTGAATGTTTGTAAATCAGTGTCTTGGTTTTGGTGTTTGTTCTGGTTCTCTAGAGTGCCACATTAGCTCAGAGAAACCCACCATTCCCCTCAAATCAAAGAACTTGAGTGTCTATATTCAGCTCTGTTCTCTCCCTTGTAAGGACATTCCCCTTTTTTTGAGTTACAACTCTAACAATTTATACTTACTGCTGAATGCATCTTCTTCACTTTCCTGTTGTGTCATATCTCTCTTCTAGCTAATAACAATAGCAAATATGGTACCAGTATGTCTCCAGCAGTAGACATGGGAATTAGCAAATGTAGAAAAATTTAGAATAAAATCTAACAACTTATTATGGTTTTCAAGGTCTTTCAGGGTCATAGTTCCCAAAGACATCCTTGCCCTCATGTCCACCCACACTCAGCCTTGCCACACTTGCCTCCTTGCTATGCACCTACAATACTAGAAATGCTCCTACCCCTGGACTGTGTTACACTTGTTATTCCCCATCTAGAAAACCTTTCCTCTCAATAGTAACATGGCTCCCTTTACTTCTTTTCATTCTTTTAAAAAATAGATATATTTTTTGACAAAACCGGTTTGGCACAGTGGTAGAGTGTCGGTCTGCTGACTGAAAGGTCCCAGGTTCAATTCTGGTCAAGGCCATGTACATTGGTTGCGGGCACATCCCTGGTAGGGGGTGTGCAAGAGGCAGCTGGTCGATGTTTCTCTCTCATCGACGTTTCTAGCTCTCTATCTCTCTCCCTTCCTCTCTTTAAAAAAATCAATAAAATATATTAAAAAAATAAAAAATAGATATATTTTTAATTTACTTCAGAGGGAAGGGAGAGGGATAAAGATATAGAAACAACAATGATGGCCCTAGCCAATTTTGTTCAGTGGATAGAGAGTCGGCCTGCAGACCAAAGCATCTTGGGTTTGACTCCAGTCAAGGGCATGAACCTTGGTTGCGAGATCCTCCCTGGCTCAGGCCCTTGTCGGGGCTAGTGCAGGAGGCAACCAATTGATGTGTCTCTCTCACATCGATGTTTCTCTCTGTCTTTCTCTTTCTCTTCCGCTCTCTCTGAATATCAATGGAAAAATATCCTCAGGTGAGGATTTAAAAAAGAGAAAAAAATAAACATCAATGATGACAGAGAATCACTAATCAACTTCCCCCTTCATGACCCAACTGGGAATCGAACTGTGACCTCCTGGTTCATAGGTTGACACTCAACCATTGTACTACACTAGCCTGGCTCCCTTCACGTCTTTTAAGTCTCTAGTTAAGTCACCCTTCCACAGAGAGGCCTTTTTGTTCACTGTCTAGTCACTTTGTTTCTTTTTACTATATTTAATTTTATTATATTTGTTAATATTGTATTATTTCAGAGTTTCTATAATATGGAAAATTTTAAAATAATGAAAAAGTCTGCATTCTGAATCACTAACTTAAAAATAAATATTGTGAAAAACGTGAGTATTCTTTGGAACCCCTCTCAAATTATTTTCCTCCCTCACCCTCACTATCAACACCATGTATATCATTTGTCTGTCTGTCCTCAGTGCCATTCCTGGCTTTTCCCATGAAAATGAAACTTCCCAGGATCCCTTTTTAAATTGATTACCTGCTTGGTTTAGCCAGTGGTTGGTATGTGGAGATATTGAAAGTAAGAATAGAAAAATTAGAATATTCTCTTTCCCTCTGATTGTTTTAGGATGCATCTTCATCAGTTACTGAGAATGAATCTTCCAAGATGCTAGCTCTCTCTAGAAACAGCATTCTTCAGGGATGCTACATTCCCAAAGGGAAGCTCTCTGTGATTTCAACTCCTGCTGGGTGGTCCAAATTATTGGTTTCTAGTAACACCATCTTCAAGTCTTCCCTTTGTCCCTCTAACCTTGGGAATGATAGTGGTTTCCTGTATTGCTAAACTACTGATGGCTTACCATTCTTTGGGTAGGTCCTCATTTATCCCAACATTTTATATTTAACTTTCTATCTTAATTTAGTTTTATTATATTATCTGGAAGGATATTTCCCCTCATACCTTATCTTTTCTTCATTGCCATTTATTTTCATGAGTCATTACAATGTTTTTATTTGTTCATTTCCTGACTCACCAATTAATTTTTAAGCATCATAAAAGTCTTGATTTTTCATTTGAAAATTTTAAAATGCTTATATTTTTATTGGGGTGATATTGGTTAATAAAATTATATAGGTTTCAGGCATACAGTTCTAAAATATTTAATATGTATATTGTATTGTGGGTTCACTACCCAAAGTCAAGTCTCCTTATATCACCATTTACCCTCTTCTATTTACCCAACCCCCTTGTTGGTCTATAAGTTTTTGTTTGTTCTTTTGTGTGTGTATGGTTTTTGTTTTGTTTTGTTTTTGCTTAGTACCTTCACCTTATTCACCCAGTCCGCCAAACCCCTCTCTGGCAACTATTAATCTGTTCTCTAATACTAATAGGCCAAAAATCAAACAAACAACAAACAAAAAACCCCACAAGGAAATCTTACCTTTGTGACTGTCTGGATGGACCTGGAGAATATTATGCTAAATGGAATAAGCCAGAGAAAGACAAATACTATATGATCTTACTTATACTGGAATCTAATGAACAAAATTACCTAACAAACAAAATAGACTCATAGATCCTTTTGAAATTTTTACTTCTTTCATCCCTGGTGCTCAGAGCATGGAATAAATATTGGCTGAATAAAGCAATAATAAATCACCTCAATTAATTCTCTCAAAAGTACCAATATTCCCATTTTTGTGAATGAGGTCTAAGCTGGTAAAATGTTAAGTAATTTACCAAAGATTGTAAGTAGAGATCCAATTCCAAAGCAGACTTGCCAATTGTCCTGCTACACAGCCTCTTTTCTGCAAAAACAAAATGAGGAAGCAGTCCTATTAGATCCTCACAAAAACTTGTTGATATTTTCTAATGAATCATTCCAGTATCTTTATGAACTTGTCTCCCCCCTTGACATATATACACCATTTGGGTAAAATTGGATTGATTCATATCACCTTTGGAAAGCTTATAATGCATGTTTGTCCCAGCCACTGCCACAAAGGAAACAAGCATTTGTTTCCATTATGCACATGTTCAAGTTTATGTAGCTTATATTCTATCCAACATATACCGGATTTATATACTGGATTTCAAAATCAAATATATGTGGACTCTACTCATATTCTCCAAGTTCTGTCTGTGCTACCTTTGGAAAATTACTCAGTTTCTTTCTTTCTTTCTCGATTTTCTTACCTTTAAAAATGAATTTAGCAATGCAAATCTTGCAAGGTAGAAATAAGGTTTCAAGATTTGAAATATGAGGTTTCAATGCAATAGATGCACAGTTTATGTCAAAATATCAGGCATGAAGAAGGAATGTATCTTTAACATGAATATGTCTTCCTATTCTAATCTGTATTTTCAGTTTTTCACATTTTGTCTGCAATTAGTAGGATGATTGAATTTTCAAACAATTTCAGAAAATGATGAAGTTTAAATTGATTACATTATTCTCTCTCTCCCCCCCTTTTTGATAAAGTTTTTGACGCCTTGCCACCCATGCGCTATCAGGAGACTATGACTACCATCCTGATGTGGATCCAGCAATCAGAAAGCAAACTCTCTGTACCTCAGGTTACCGTCACTGAATATGAAATCATGGAGCAGAGATTTGGGGAGTTACAGGTCTGTGAATATTTGACTGTCTTAAACAATACAGTGTAGATCTCATATAACAAGAAATCACATGGGTGTAACCTTAATATAATATTAGAATTAAAGTACGTGTGGCAAGTACAATAGTTTTTCAGTTAGATAAATGAATATAAAAGACTTTAAATGCAATACATTATGTATTTGTGCATAGAAGATAAAAATGCCATCTTAAAAGAAAGTGATATGGCCGAAACCAGTTTGGCTCAGTGATAGAGCATCGGTCTGCGGACTGAAGGATCCCAGGTTCGATTCCAGCCAAGGGCATGTACATTGGTTGCGGGCACATCCCCGGTAGGGGGTGTGCAGGAGGCAGCTGGTCAATGTTTCTCTCTCATCGACATTTCTAGCTCTCTATCTCTCTCCCTTCCTCTCTGTAAAATATCAATAAAATATATTTTTTTAAAAAGAAAGTGATATGGTCTACTTATGAAGTATATTCTTTCTCACTTAGTATATATTTTAGCCACATTTGGATTATTATAAAAGCTATGGTATTATTTCCTACCTTTACCTGCTTACTTATTAATATTTCCAAACAGAAAGAGGTTAAATCAATGTAGTGATAAAATTAGTTTTAATTTAAACACTGGTTTTATGTAATATTGTGGTTAGTTATTTGGGGTTTAACAGCTTTATATTGGGAAATTAAATACTTATTTAGGAAATAAAGAAAATAATTTGTGAGAAATTTTAGAATACTTTTCCTACTATTTATGAACAGCCTGGTTTGTATATTCAATCACATTTATAATATGTGAAAACATTTTCAGTAATTTTTAGTAGCTGAAATAATATATCTGTATTTTGAGAATTACATTAAGAAAAAAAGGTTAAAATTTAACTTTGTATATTGAGTTATTTTTAAAGAATTAAGCAATATTTCTTAAAATAGTAATTTTAAAAGTATTGTTCAAATACATTTCTAAAAACCATTTTCCAGTGTACTATTTAGAGTATTTCCTGTAGTCTACAAAAACACACCAAAAAACCTATAATTGTTTAATCTTCTTTTCACTTTATGTCGGTTTGTTTAATTATTGGGAATGATGCCAAATTTACCTTGGACAATATGTGACTTCATACAACTATAAACATTTAGAAAAAGAGTACAAAGGTACAGCAACTAGGGGAGTGGATTAAGTATACAAGAAATGGCGTATAGATGAATTGTTACTGAAAGGCAGTGAAGATGAAAATGTTATTTATAAATATTATCGAGAAAATATATTAACTAAAAAAATGAAGTTAGAAGTTGGTATCAAATGTTATACCAAAACAAAATACCGCATATATTAAAAAGTTCAAAAACATTTTAATCATAAATTTTGTAGATATTTTTAATGTAAGTCTTTAAAAACACATGATGACGAAGCATCAAAATCATTGGAAGCAATCACAGAGATTATACATATATCAGAGACAATTTAAAAGAAAAATAAGACCAAAGAAAATATTTATTTGCATAAAAGAAAAATAAATTAATAAGAAAATCACCAATAAGACACATAAACGACCATTAAACCTATGAAAAATTATAACTCAAATTGTAAAGGATGAAGTACAAATGTACAAAATGAGATACCATTTTCCCATACTAAGTTTAAAAAATCTGAAAGAGATAAGTGGAGGTCTGTTAGCAATGAGATACATTTTCACATACTAGTGGGAATGTAAATTGAATAACTGAGGAAAACTTTTCAGTACCTCCTAATAACATAAAATAATTCACTTAACTGTACACAGTAATACTATTTCTATGAAGTATGCATCTTATGGAAATAACCAGAATATACTCAGATATAGGCAGATGATAGATCATAAACATAATTTACAGCAGTGGAAAATTCAGAATTAATTTTTAAAGCTAATAAAGGGAACTGGTGAAATGAACTAGAGAAGCCATTAAAATTTATGTTTTTGAAAAATAATGACATGGGAAAAGGCTCACAGTAAAATGCCTGGCTTAAAATGTAACTATTTGCATGCTAGATATTGTCTAAATAATTAATCAAGAGTAGCAGTTTAATAAAGTAAAATCAAATTAAATTAAAAATTAAATTACCATAAAACAGGGATAAGATATTATGTACCTGTAAAAGTTACATGTTTGATATACTTGGAGGAATTTTATTAGTCATTTTATAAAAGAGGGAATAAATGTGTATGTGTTTATGATAAGATCAGATAGTATTTAATTACACAGATAAACCCTCAAAGTTTACATAAAATCATAGGTGTTGCATATAATGTATATTTTTCCAATTTTTAATCTTGAACCTTTATTACTTTATAACCAGAAAGTAACATTTAAATAAATATTGAGTAGAGGAATCCTAAAGATGGGCATCCTATTTATAAGGGATTACATAGGTTATACATTACAAATATAAAACCAATGTTATAAATTCTCCCCAAAATTATTCTAGAATTTAACTATAATACTACAAGACAGAGAAATGTCTTCTGAAATATATGAAACTTTAGTTAACTGGCATTAATAGACCATCTATCTGACAACATTCAGTTTTGATTTCACATATATCAATATAATTTAGTTATATTTTTCACTAGGGAGATTAGAAGTTGTCTTCTTAAAGGCTCAGTATGATTAACTTAAACTCTATTAAGTGTATAATAAATGCAATTATTCATACACAGATATAATAGAATAAAATTAGGCATGCTAAAACTCTGGTTCAGTAAGATATAATTTTGGATATATTTGACAGTGTTCATAAAATAGGCATAGATTTTCAAATAAAATGTTACTGAATATTCTGTAAATTAATCTTATGATAAAAAGTAGAATTAATATCATCAATAGTTTTCTGATGACTGATATTACATCATCTATTTTTTAGATGTTTGAATCACCTAGCTTTCATTTTAAGTACATTTAATTTAATTGGAGTTTGTTAATGAAACTGGCAATGAAACATTATTTTTCATCAGTTAGCAGACATGTACTTTCCTTTTTCAATTTGAAGGCTTTACAAAGTTCTCTGAGAGAACAGCAAAGTGGTCTAAACTATCTGAGCACCACCGTGAAAGAGATGTCAAAGAAAGCCCCCTCTGATATTAGCCAGAAATATCAATCAGAATTTGAAGACATCGAAGGCCGCTGGAAGAAGCTTTCCTCCCAGTTGGTAGAACGTTGCCAAAAGCTAGAAGAGCACATGGCTAAACTCCGAAAAATTAAGGTAATTTCAAGAGTTTACTTTTTTGCCTTGGCCTCTGTGACTCCATTGGTTGAGCATCATCATATGTACCAAAAGGTTACCTGTTCAATTCCCAGTCAGGGCACATGCCCAGGTTGTGCGTTCTGTCCCTAATTGAAGTGTAGTATGGGAGAAAACTGATTGATATTTCTTTCTCTCTCACTTCCCTTTTCTCTTTTTAAAATCAATAAAAGTATTTTACTTTTTATATTAATTTTTTCGTTTCTCTCTAATGATGCATTATAAAAATTTAAAGGCAAATAACTTAATCTCAATAGTAAATTCAAAGTCAGTAATAAGATCAAAAGATTCAAATCTCTCTCAAAGAAAAGAGTAAGAGTTCTGCTTAGACTTTTTAAACATTATTTCCCCCCCACAAATACTTTGTTATTCAGCATATAAATAGAGAAGTTATCTACCATGTAATGTAATTTATCAGCGTATTTTCCTTATATTAATATGTATAAGTTTGATCCCATCACATTTTACAAAACAGCTCCTACTGACTGCATTTATTTGAATGGTGCCACCATATTTTAATTACCCAAGGTGAAAATAGTAAACCAACTATTGCATTATAGTCTAAAATCTCTTATGTGCTGAACCATTGTGATAGATATCAATACTGGAAAGAGTCATTGAAGCATCATAGCAAAATGAAAAATCATTGCAACAAGAAGCACTTGGATTTATATCCTTATACAGCTAACTTAGTTGTTTATTCTCACCTTTTACAAAATAAAAAGACAGAATTGTTCTAAAACATCCTTTAAAGTACAACATATTTTACAAATGTACACATGTACATGTTTTGACATATAAACATGTTTGCACATGCATTTACACACAGCCATAAAAATCACATTTTTTTTTTTTTTTGCCAGTATCAGTGGTGAAAGAGGCTACAGATACATGGTCCTTGCTTTTATTCAGCCCACATTCCAGTGAAGGAAAATGATAAGTGTATTTGTTCCCTTTGTTTCTGTAACATATTACCACAAATTGAATGGCTTAAAACAACACAGATTTATTATTTTTCATTTCTGGAGGTCAGAAGTTCAAAACCAGTTTCAGTGGCTAAAGTCAAAGTATAGGTAGGGATCTGATCTTCCTGAGGGCGTTAGGAGAGAATGTATCTCCTTGTCATTTTTAGCTTTTGGAAACTACATTTATTCCTTGATTCATGTCCCCACCCTCTTTCTTTAGGCCCAGCAGTGTAGCATCTTCCAGTTTTTCGAACTCTTACACTCCGGCCCCCCCTTAATAAGGACTTTTGTGATTACATTTTGCCCAGCTAGATAACCCAGAATAATCTCCCCCATCTCAAAATCTTTAACTTTCTCTCAACTGCAAAGTATTTGTAGCTCTGTAAAGTAATATATTCACAGGTTCCAGGGCATAGGGTCTGAAGATATTGGGAAGTCATTATTTAGCCAACACAGGAAGTAAATTACACAGTGTAGGAAATGTTGTGACAGTAAGGAGAAAAAAAAAACATACAACATAAACTGGGAGAGGAGATTATGAAATATTCTTGGAACATGGGTTATAGGGGCTATACATTGAACAAGTAGAATGTAGTCAACTAATGAAGTGGGATAAAGTTCCTGACAAAATGCAGCAGTTTGCTCAATTGAATGAAAGTGGTTCAGTATTGATAAGACAAAGATATGTTCAGAGATTGACAAAAGATAGGATTGGAAAAATAGTCTGGGAGTAGATAATGAATGGTCCCAAATGTCATGCTTTGGAATATGAATTATAACAGACTAGTGAAAGGGTTACAAATAATAATAATGTGGGACTGTTATTGTTATTTTAGAGGAGAGAAAATCTAATAATATTTGTGTTTTTAAAGCATCATTATAATAATAGAAAGGAGGAGGGAAGAATACTGACACCAAAATGAAGAATAGATTAGACTGGGTGAAATTGAGAGAGATACCAAAAAAGCCAATAATAAGGCCTGAACTAAGACAGTAGTGACAGGGAAGAAGTACAAAACCAGACTTGAGAGATACCAGCAAGATGTGCTATTGAATTTTTTTGATTTAGTCAAATGCTTTTAAAATTCATTATCATTAATCATGTTGAAGTTGTAACTTCCAGTAAAGCACATATTTTCTATAAAAATTTAATTAAGGAAGGATAAACCAGCACATCTAGACAGCATAGTTGAATTGTATGGAAATAAAAATGTTTGAAAATTATACATTTGGAAATAGTAAAAAAAAAAAAAAAAAAGCAGTTGGAAGGTTGGGGAAGCAATGTGAAAGAATAAAGAAAGATAGTAGCTTTTAATAATTTACAAAAAAGATCATTTTTGCCCAATTTTGACTTTAATCTGGTAAGGTAAATAAGAAATTAGAAGCAAAAGTTATCTCTTTAAAGATGACAGAATGATGGTCTAAAAGTTCCCAAGTGTTGGAACTATTTAAACTGTCAATTGCCAAAAAACAATTTGTGAAAGTTCAGGTTTAGGGAGGCTATAAATACATCATTCCAGTGAGTTTATTGTTCATAGTTTATTTTATGTACTGTAAGGACACATGGTTAGTATTATAAGTTGTTTTGAAACTTAAAATTTCTCTAGAGGGGGATATGATTTAATGTTCTTGAGAGTTACATAAATTTTTTATTTCTAACAATTGCAGATTTCATACAATAGTGCTCATACAGTAGACCATAAAAACGTGGTCTTAGTAAAAGTATTATTTTCCTGAAGAGCTACTTAGAGACATCTTTCAAACATGGGAATTGTTCCTGGGCTTGTGTTCAGACATATCACTGTAATGAATCGAGTTGAGAGAAATCAGCACCCCCAATAATATCTAAAAATGGGTCTCTGATTCCAGAATCACATACAAACTCTGAAGAAATGGATGGCTGAGGTTGATGTTTTCCTGAAAGAAGAATGGCCTGCCCTTGGGGATTCAGAAATTCTTAAAAAACAGCTGAAACAATGCAGGGTAAGATTTGCATATGGCACTCCTCATATGGAGATGTTTACATGCAAATGTTTTTTGTTGTTGTTACAGCTGTGGTTCTTAACCAGGGGTGATTTGCCCCTCCTAGAGGATATTTATCAATGTCTGGAGACATTTCATTTGTTACAACTTGGAGTGGGGTAGATGCTACTGGCATGTAACTGGTGGAGGTCAGGGAAGCTTCTAAATATCCTGCAATGCACAGAACCACCACCACAACAAAGAACTATTTAGTCTAAAATGACAGTAGTGCCAAGATTGAGAAACTGTGTTAAATCACTGAGAAACAGAAAAATGTGACCTTTTACTCAATCTTAATTTTACAAGATTATTTTAATACTAGAGGCCCAGCTCAGAATTGTGTGTGGGTAGAGTCCCTAGGCTTAACCTGTGATCAGGGCCATCTTTACCCCACTCTCCAGTCCCCTAGTCCAGCCTTGGCCACCACCCACACTGGTTCCCCGTGGTTCCCTCTTCACCATCCATTGATCAGAGCCTGTGGGCCAGGGAGAGGAACCAAGAGGTCTGCCTTCCACTTGCTTGCCAGTCCCCAGTTCTGCATTACCACCATCCACTCCTGTTCCCCATTGTTCCCCATTTGCCATGATCAGAGCCTGTGGACTGGGGGGAGGGACCAAGAAGTCTGCTTTCTGCCCAGTCCCCAGTCTGCCCTGCTGCCACCCACCCTGGTTCCCCTTTGGTGGTTCTCCATTGGCCATTCAGTGATCTCAGCCTGCAGGCCTGTGTGAGGGCCTGAGAGGTAGTCATTGCACCTCATAGCAACTGGTCAATCAGTCGTTCTGGTTGTTATGCCATTATGTTCGCCTGTCTTTTGTTATATATGATAAAATTTAGTTTAATTTAAAGGTAAATATTCCTTTAAGCTATTAGTTATATTTTATTACAATTAGTCATATTATATAGCTTTTTCCATATGTACTTAACTGTAGACAATATAAATTTTTGTTCCATTGATCTGTATGTCGTTTCATGTCAGTAATAGGCTGTTTTGGTTATTATGGCCTTGTAGTATAGTTTGAGGTCAGTTAGTGTGATTCCTCCAACTTTGTTCTTCTTTATCAATATTGATGTGGCTATTTGGGATCTTTTGTGATTCCATATAAGTTTTTGGAATATTTGTTCTAATTCTGTAAAATAGGCAATTGATATCTTGATAAGAATTGCATTGAATCTGTAGATTACTTTGGGTGGTAAGGACATTTCAATGATATTAATTCTGCCTATCTATGAATACAATATGTGCTTCCACTTATTTGTACCTTCTTGAGTTTCTTTCTTTGGTGTCTTCTAATTTCCCCAATACATGTCTTTTACCTCTTTGGTTAAATTAATTCTTATGTATTTTATTTTTTACATAATTGTAAATGGGATTGTGTTCTTAGTTTCTATTTCTGATAGTTCCATTACTGGTATAAAATTGCAACTGATTTCTGGATATTCATATTGTATCCTACTACATTACTAAATTCACTTAACAGTTATAGTAGTTTTTTGGTGGAATTTTTAGGGTTTTCCATATATAGTATCATGTCATCTGCAAATAATGACAGTATTTTTTTCTTCTTTCCAATTTGAATGCCTTTTATTTCTTATTGTTTGATATGGTTGTGGCTAGAACTTCCAGTATTATCGCTATATATAAAAGCCTAATATGTTAAGTGTCCGACCAAGTGGCCATCTGACCAGTCACTATGACATGCACTAACCACCAGGAGGGAAATGCTCCATCTGGTAGGTTAGCTTGCTGGTGGGGTCCAGCCTATCAGGACTTGGTGAGAGGGTGCCAGACTATGCCCTGGAGCCCTTCTGCGGTTCCTCCCCAGACACTGGCCCTGATCACAGGCCAGGAGGAGGGACCCCACCAGTGCATGAATAATAACGCCTCTAGTGTTGAATGATAATGGTGAAATGGAAATCCTTGTTCCTGATCTAAAGAGTAAAGTTTTTAGTTTTAGCCTATTGAATACGATATTGGCTGTAGGTTTATCATATACGGCCTTTAATATATTTAGGTCTGTTCCTTTTATTTCACTTTGATGAGAGTTTTTTTTAAATCATAAATGGGTGTTAGATTTTATAAAATGCTTTTTCTGCATCTGTTGATTTGATCATGTGATTTTTATTTTTCATGTTTTTATTAATTTGGGGATATTGTACCAACCTCATATCCTTGGAATAAATTCCACTGGATCATGATCAGGATGTAAGATCTTTTTAATATATTGCTGGATAAGATTTGCTAATATTTTGCCAAAACTGGTTTGGCTCAGTGGATAGAGCATTGGCCTGCGGACTAAAAGGTCCAGGGTTCAATTTTGGTCAAGGGCATGTACCTTGGTTGTGGGCACATCCCCAGTAGGGGGTGTGCAATAGGCAGCTGATTGATGATTCTCTCTCATCAATGTTTCTAACTCTCTATCCCTCTCTCTTCCTCTCTGTAAAAAAGTCAATAAAATATATTTTAAAAAAGATTTGCTAATATTTTGTTGAGAATTTTAGCATTTTGTTCATTGGGGATATTGACCTATAATTTTCTTTCTTTGTAATATATTTATATGGGTTTGGAATTAGAATAGTGCTTGCCTCATAAAATGAGCTTGGGAGTCTTCCCTCCTCTTGCATTTTTGAAACAATATTCAATATACCATTGTCATGCAGTAGGAAGAAAATAATCTAGCTGTTTATATATTTTTCTTTGCAAATAGAAGATAAAAACGGAATTCATGTGACACATAACCTTGACATCCATCGTGCTATACTGAATTGCTACAGTATCCTGTGTTTGAAAACCAAAATTCTTTAAAAAAACAAACAAACCATAATGCGTAAAGTCCATGGTTTTCACACATTTTAAAGCAAGCAATATTAAATTTGTTTCCTTTTATATCTAATTTAAGTAGAAATGCATATTATTCCCTACTTCATTCATACCATAAGAACCTGTGAACATTTTTTGCAAGACATAATATATCTCAACCTTGTACATGTATTACTGTTACTTGAGATTTCAAAGGATACATTTCATGGATATTGTTATGATTCCTAATTATATATTTCCTATGTATGTTTTACTTCTAATATGTTGACAGGTAATGTTTGAATTATTTCCACAGCTTTTAGTCAATGATATTCAGACAATTCAGCCCAGTCTAACCAGTGTCAATGAAGGTGGGCAAAAAATAAAGAATGAAGCGGAGCCAGAATTTGCTTCTAGACTTGACACAGAACTCAGAGATCTTAACACTCAGTGGGATCACATTTGCCAACAGGTATGTACATTTTTTTTTATTGGGGATTACCCTTATTTAACTAAGATTTCTTAATGTCTCCTTTTATTGCAGCTTTTTGTAAAAGTGTAGATTCTATGTTAATGCTTTAAAGCATGGTTAATTCAAACTAGCCTTTACCTAGCATATAAAATATTTTCATATTAGATATTTTAAATACTATGTATTAACAGTTATATTCAAGAAGGTCATTAGATATTTAAATACTATGTATTAACAGTTATATTCAAGAAGGTCATTAGATATTTAAATACTATGTATTAACGGTTATGTATTAACAGATATTTAAATACTATGTATTAACAGTTATATTCATAATAGATATTTTAAATACTATGTATTAACATTTATATTCAAGAAGGTCATTATTCTAGCGAATAATGACCTTCTTGAATATAACTGTCACATTAGGTATTATTTTGATTGAATGTTTTCTCCAGTACATGATTTTGTAATAGTAATTGGATTAAAAAAAAAAAGACACTTCACACTTGTATGCTGGGTACAAAAATAAAACAAATGAATAATAATTGTTTCTTGTGATTGTTAAGGTTGACAAGTTTGATTTCTTTTATTTCAGTAAATTATGTAAGATTGTGAAATAGTTAAGAAAAGCTCAGTGGAAAAAAATACAAAATAACTCTCCACTCACATTTAAGTTCCTCATATTTATACAGCAGAGTATTTAATAGATGTTTTAAATTAAATTATAGAAAACTAAATTTCATATACACAAGTCATATATATCCAATAATTCCTGTTCAGAATATAACATTTTGCCTAAGGCAGTTATTACTTTTCAACGCATCAAGCTTCTTTTTTTGAAATTAATCAAGGTTTCGTTTTATGTGTTTTAGAGTCAGCATTTTATTATTCTTAAATAACTTGTTAGAGTTGAAATCATGCCAAAAGGCAAAAATTAAATCTGAGAAAGAAGAGAATTTAGAAAAGTAAAAGTCAAGGCAAGTCACCCAGCTAATACCATCACTGACAAATGCTTAACAGTTCTATTAACTCAGAGATGAGACAGCCCTGGGTCAGTGAGCTTGCAGTCTTTTTCTAGAGTAAGACAATTTGAGAAGGTATGTTGAGAAAAAAATATTACCTTGATAATAAATGATGTCTTTATTTTTCCTGGAAGGTTAGTATGAAATGTATTTGTTTGTTGAATGTTTTAATGGATTAGTATGAAGAACAACCAATTTATTTAGATCAAGAGAGAAAAGAAGAGCAAAAATATATGAAATCAAATGTTAGAGAATTGTACTTTTTATTTTTTATTTTATTTTTTAAAATATTTTATTGATTTACAGAGAGGAAGGGAGAGAGATAAAGAGCTAGAAACGTCGATGAGAGAGAAACATAGACCAGCTGCCTCCTGCACACGCCCCACCAGGGATGTGCCCGCAACTAGTGTACATGCCCTTGACTGGAATCGCACCCGGGACCCTTCAGTCCGCAGACCGATGCTCTATTGCCGAGCCAAATCGGTTTCGGTGAAAATTGTACTTTTTAAAGGATCTCTATATTATCTCTATATTATTCATGTGTCCTTGATTAAGAACTCACGTCTGCAATAAACTGTACCAAGAATATGTTGTTCAAGGCAAGTATTGTAAACATATCAGCCTGCTGCATAAGAAAAACTTAATAGAATCCAGCCATACTCTCCTAGAATAAAAGAGGTTTCTAGATGTGAATATGAGAAACAGAGTTAATAAAGCTATTGTAATAATAATAACCAGCATATCTTTTTCCATATGAACAACTGTAAACCTACTTTTGCTCACCTTGCATTTTATGTCTCTCCAATTCTCTCTGTACTATACTACCCATGTTCTACTTTATTGCCAAGTGACCTAGGTGTGGAAAGAAAGGGATCATGCAGTTCAGAAGAGAAGGAAGACAATGCTGTAAAGGAAGGAAAGCCAAGCCTGGGTGTTGGGGACCAATTTAGGGGCCCAGAAAGGGGAATGGAAACAAAATGTAAATGTATATAGAAATGGCTAACTACAACGTGAGGGTATGGTGTCTTTCATGGGTTAATGGTAACTCATTTGTTTATGGATACTAGAGTCTGGGGAAAAAAAACAAATACAAATAATCAGAGACACATTTTTCCCAAGTGTGACATCTTTAAACACACTTTGAGATCCTATGATCTGATTTTGTAGGTGTAAAATAGTTGAGATTATTTTAAATTCTAATATATATATATATTTTTTTTTTCACTAGCTATTTTTAGCTTAAGGATAATTACTATTAAAATAACCTACAAATTAATGAACTAGACTTGAAATAAGGGAGGGGAGAAGGAATATAAATATATTATTTAGAGAAACATTTTTACTTTTTATTCATTATTAGAATATTTATTTATTGAAAAATATGATTAAACATTTTGCATCAGCTATTAGTAGGGGATAAAAGAAACAGTATCTATCTTCATGGAGTATATAGTTTAGTAGAGAAGATAGAAAGTAAATGAATCAGCACAATATCACATAATTTTATTGTTGATCAATGCTCTGAAGTAAGTAATCAGAATGAGAATAATAGAAGAAGGGAACATACCTTTTATTAAGTAGCCAGTAAAGTTCCTAAAAAGATGGAAATAAAGCTGGTGCCTAGTTAGTGAGAACAGCCTGATACTTTGTTGTGTGAACTAGGGAAATTCTGGAGAGAGGATGAATGAAAGGGGTTAAACTGCTGAGACAGAAGAGGGATGAGCAAATTTGGGGAACTCAAGGACAACCACTGGAAGAGGAATAGTGTGATTCAGGAGAAAATAAGAGGGAAATAAGAATAATGAATTATCTTATAAGGGACAGTGAGGATTTAGTATGTTTGTTAGGTACATTGGGAAACTATTAGATTTTAGGCATAGATATGGTACAATCTCAAGCGATTGTTTAAAAAGTTGCTGTTACATGAACAATAGACTGGAAGGGGCACAAGTGGAAGAATGTAGGAATTATAATTTTCTAAGTAGGAAATAACACTGGCAAGGAATAAGAGCATTAGGCCAACTCTTTTACAGCCCCTTACATTCTACATCAGCAATATATTGTAATTCTTCCCTCTACTGGACCATTTCCATGACAAGAGACATATGCTGTAATATCTCCTATCATTAAAAATGATCCTCCCGCCGAAGCCCGGTTGACTCAGTGGTAGAGCATCCGTCTGCGGACAGAAAGGTCCCAGGTTCGATTCCGGTCAAGGGCATGTACCTTGGTTGTGGGCACATCCCTGGTAGGGGGTGTGCAAGAGGCAGCTGGTCGATGTTTCTCTCTCTTCAACGTTTCTAGCTCTCTTTCTCTCTCCCTTTCTCTCTGTTAAAAATCAATAAATTATATATTTTTTAAAAATGATTCTCCCTTTGCCTCATGTTTCCTGCATACATCTCTCTCTCTATTTCTTTCCCTTTACAGAACCATTTTCTCTCCATTTCACACCCCCCATTCTCTGTTGTATGCTCCATAATCAAGCTTTTTTAAAAATTATATTTTTATACAGAGAGGAAGGGAGAGAGATAGAAACATCGATGATAGAGAAACATTGATTAGCTGCTTGCACACCCCCTACTGGGAATGTGTCTGCGACCAAGGTACATGCCCTTGACCAGAATCAAACCTGGGACCTTTCAGTCTGCAGGCTGGTGCTCTATCCACTGAGCAAAACCAATTTAGACTATAATCAAGCTTTTATCCTTACAATTCCACTGAAACAACTTTTGTCGGGGTCACCAATGAATTGGCATCACTAAATCCAGTGTTTAGTCTTTATTCAATTGACGTTCATATCATCACTCTTAGTCTGCCTTCAATTTCTGTGACCCCTCTCAAAAACCCTTAGGTAGTTCCTCTGCTTTGACCCTTAAACTTTGAAGTATTCCAGGGTTCAGTCTTTGGCCTTTTTTTCTTCCTTGTCATTACTCCTTAACTAGATAAACTGACCAGCCTCAAGGCTTCAAATGTTATCTGAAAGTTATTTCTACAGTTTTTGTTACAATCTGGCAATTTCCCTAAGTTTCAGATCTGAATAACCATCTGCCAACTCAACACCTCCATATGGATGAAAAATAGACATATGAAATCTAACACCCATCTCCTAATTTCTGACTGCCCAACCTGCTGTCATAAAAATCTCTCTAGTGCAAGAAATAAAAACTATATCCTTCCATTTATCCAAGTCATAACCCTTGAGTTCTCCCTATCTCCTTGTACTTTTGTGGGAGCTGTGGAATACAGCTCCATATGCCAAGGGACGCTGGAGGAGTGTCACTTACCTATTAATCAAGTAATATTCATATAGATTTCAGTCCCAGGTGTAGATCCTACAGTGGCCTGTGAACTAACTTCACACTCTTTCAGACATGCTTCAAGAACCCCTGGAGAACACTGTCTTAGACAATCACCCATGAATGAGAGAGGCTTTGTGGAAGTCCAGAAGTCTAGTAGAGAAGATCCAGTATATTGTTAAAACAACAAAAATCAGGACTGGATGAATTAGAGAGAGTAAGAAGAATGAAAGCTGTCACTACCTGTCCTGGTGCTTTGCAGGATCAAGAGAAGACATACAAGTTTAAGAATTCTGCCACAAGAGGGATAAGAAATGAGGAACAGTCATATCTGTAGAAGGTCTTAGAAAGTTTCAGAAACCCTTACAGAGATGAAAGTATTTCTTTCTTAAAGGCAGTTATTAAAGACTGGAAGAAGTGACTGCCAGTTCAAATGGGATGATAATAATTCAATCCTTGGATAAATGGTAAATTAAGGAATCATGACTACATGAAAGAATCATAAGTTTCCAGTACCTGACCTCAAAAACATGGAGATCTGTGATTTACCTGATAAAGACTTCAACATTATTGCTATAAGGAAGCTCATTGAGCTACACAAAAACAAGGACTATTCAATAAAAGTAGGAAAAGAATATATGAACAAAATGAGAAGTATAACAAAGTAATAGACTTCATATAAACAAAAATAACTAAATCTGAAGAATGCAACAAATGAAAAATATAATAAAAAGAACAAGATTCTGTTTGTAGCTGATATGACCTTATAGTATATAGAAAATCCTAAAGAATGCCAAAGAACTGTTAAAATCAATCAACACATTCAGTAAGTTTCAGGATAAAAAAATCTATGTACAGACCATACAGAAATAAGTTGTGATTTTATACGCTAACAATAAAATATCTGAAAAAGAAATAAAACTAATGTATTTATAATAGTATCAAAAACAATGAAGGAGGAATAAGTTTAACCAAGGAAGTGAAAGATGCGTTCACTGAAAACTAAAAGACTTATGAAAGAAATTAAAGAGACACATAAATGGAAAATATCCTGTGCTCATGGGTTAGAAAATTTTGACATTATTAAAATGTTCATATCCCCAAAGTCATCTTTAGATTCAATGCTCTCCTTTATCAACATTCTGATTGCATGTTTCATAGAAATAGGAAAAAAAACCTAAAGTTTGCATGGTTGACCCAAAGGCCTCAAATAACCAAATAAATCCTGAGAAAGAAGAACAAAGTGAGAGGTATTATACTTCTCATTTCAAAATATATTATAAAACTATTATAATAAAAATCAGTATGGATACTGGCCTTAAAAATACTCACATAGACCAATAGAACAGAATATTGAGCCCAGAAATAAATGCACACATATATAGTCAACTTATATTTGACAAGAGAGCCAAGAAATACTCAATGGGAAAATGATAGTTTCTTCAATAAATTATATAGGAAAAATTGGATAATTACATGCAGAATAATGAAATTGGACTCCTATCTTACTATTCAAAAATTAACTCAAAAAGGATTAGAGACTTAAACATAAGACCAGAAACCATAAAATTCCTAGAAGAAAACCTAGAAAAAAATCTTTGACATTGGTCTTGGAAACAGTATATATATATATATATATATATATATATATATATATATATATATTAATATATATTAATATATATCAATATATATCAATATATTAATATATATTAATATATATTTTGATGTCATATATATATGACATCACAACACAAGCAAAAGAAGGAAAAACATAAAATACATCCAATTGAAAAACTTCTGCACATCAGAAGATAACAATTGACAAAATTAAAGTCATCATACAGAATAGAAGAAATTTTCTGAAAACCATATTTATTGCATTATAATTATCAGTAACCAATATATATAAACAATATAAGAGTCCAGTAGATAAATGGATAAAGATGAGGAAACACACACACACACACACACACACACACGCGCGCGCGCGCACACACACACATGGAGTATTATTCAGCCACGAGAAAGGAGATCCTACATTTTACAAAACCTGGATGGACTTTGAAGGTATTATGCTAAATTAAATAAGTCAGACAGATTAAAAACTCATACTGTATAATCTAACTTATAAGTGGAATTTGAAAAAGCCAAACTCAGAAAAAGAACAGTGTTTGTTGGGGCTTGAGAGGTGGGAGAAATGGAGAGATAAAGTCTCGATATCTCATTTTCAGCTTGACTATAGTTGACAATACTCTATTATTTACAGAGTAGGGCAAATGTAGGTTTATATAATAGTTGCATGTACAACACAGCTTATTCTTGTATTATTTATTAGTTATTGTCAATAACTGTAAACCTACATTTGCCCCAGCCTATAATTGACAATTACTAATATATTAAGTAGATCTTAAATATTCTGACCACAAGATAGGAAAATGGTAATTATTTGAGGGTGATAGAGGGATTAACTAATCCTATTGTGGTAATCATTTCACAATGTACATGTGTGAATTATCACTTTGTCCACTTTAATTGCACAATATTATGTCTCAGTAAAGCTGTGGTTGTCGGGGCAGGAATGGAGTGCAGAAGAGGCAGTGTATAATGTTAGGTTTACAAATCCTAGAACAGGAAACATGAGAACTTTCTATTTTCTCCAAAAGATTGAGGCAATGTAATCTGCTGAAACTGTGGGGTAAATTGGGAAACTTAAGGCTAGAATTTTGGCATCACTGATATGAAAATTTGAGCAGGAAATTGTCATTTTAACTCAAACCTTTTCACAGCAATCCTTCTCAAATATGAAACCACAAAATATACATCTTTCTCTCTGATCAGTTGTAGAGCTGTTGAACATTAAATGTTGAAAACAAAACAAAATAAAACAAAACAAAACACTAAAACTGGAAAACATCGGGTCCAACTGATAGGTTAGTTACAAAGCCAAAATAAAGAGAAATGAAATAATGTGTCCAGATTCACTTAGTTTGCTAATGATTGAATCCAGGTATCCTGATTCCAAACTTGATGCCCTTTCCAAAACACTTGTGCTGTCACTCATAATAATTTCTTTCCTTTCTTTCCTTAAAAAACAATAATTCCTGAACTTTTCTTCTGGTTTAGTTTTATAGCATGCAGTATATATTATTTTCTTTTCTCTACAAGTCCTTGGCAAAGTTCCATTAGTCCCTCTGGTATTATTGTTGCTTTGCCAACTACCCCAAAAGATTATAGCAGAAATTTAACAGCATGTTTACTTGGGCTTCTTATAAGGTTCATGACTATTCAAAATAATTTATACCTTAATTAGTATAATTTTAGACATAATGTTCTAGCCGTGTCAGAGTGAAACAGATTTACATTTCAATAGATAAGGTACTATATTTACATAGGAAGCTAAATTAAAATAGTTATGATTTACCTAATGTAGGTTTCAGAGGGTTATAAAGTCTAGGGGAATTAATATGATGATGATTCTGCACATATTTAATATCTGGTAAAATACCAGTATACTATACTAAAACTATGAGTTACATTTTAAGACTTTACAATTCTGTACCCTACCCAGTTTGGCTCAGTGGATAGAGTGTTAAAAGACTGAAAGGCTCAATCCCCAGTGAGGGGCGTGGTGTGCAGGAGGCAGCCAGAATTTATTCTCTCATCATTAATGTTTCTATCTCTCTTTTCCTCTCTTTCTCTCTTAAATCAATAAAAAACATATTTTAAAAAAGACTTTACAATTCTGTTACTTAGAACTGTAATCCCAGAGAGAACAATAATATTATTTGAAGAGAATTACTTTTTTAAGGTAAAAAAGAAGCACTATCTATAACCATTCTAATATTAAATTGAGGTTTTCACTTGTTACAGGATATGTTGTAACAAGCCATTAACAAGCATGATTTTCTTTAGATGTTTTAAATCTTGCTGGTTAATAAGTAATAAATTATATTGTTAAATGTTAGTATTTCAGAAACATATAAAGCTTTACAAAGTATAAGTCTATTACCACAATACTATTTTACAATCTGTTTTTTAAACTTAAAATTACATACTGAACAACTTTCACTTCAGTTCAGATGTATTGGTGTTATATGGCATTCCATTGTGTGTGTGTGTGTGTGTGTGTGTGTGTGTGTGTGTGTGTGTGTCTCATAATTTATTGAACTAATCCTCCATGAAAGCACATTTAGGTTTCTTTACAATATGTTGCTGTTGTCAAAACTGACTTTAACAGTGTATATGCAACTTTATACACTTTGTTTTATATGAGAAGTTCTTTAAAGTGGGAGAGTGGACTCAGGTATATGAAAGTTAACAATTTTAATGTATTTGCCCATTTACTGTTTAAAAAGTTGTATTGTGTTGGATATTTCCCTCAACAGGTGTGAAAACCTTTGCTTCCCCATACCCTTGGCTAAACTGGACATTTTTGTTGTTATGCCACTCTTAATGTGAAAATGCATTAATTCTTTTTTATTTGCAATGATACTGAACATCCTTTCACATATATGGCCACATTTTACTTTTATTTCATTAAATCACATGTCTATGTCCTTTATCAATTTTCTTTTTTTTTTTCTGATTTGTGAGAGGTATAGGCATGTTAAGTTTCCATATTTGAAACTGTAAATCAGTATCAGAGAAAACAAAGAATTATTACTTCTATGTATGCCAGTAAAGTTGCATTTCCAATGGAAACATTATGAAAAAAATGTTTTTCTGTAATCCCTGTTTGTAGAGAAGCATTGCCTCACACAACAGCTAAATTATAGTCTTAGGGGAATCTGTTTATTTTATTAAGTATGTCAAGTAAATGGCTGTATCTTGTTTTTAAGACTTGTGTGAAATTAAGTGTATCCAATTACCATGATTTATTTTTCTCATTCATGCAAGCTTCTTACTTTTTCATATTTTCTGTCTAAACATTTTATTATTTACAGACTGCTCAATAATAATATCATGCTGATGTTTTATGACTTTTAATATTCATGCTTTATTTGTTGGTTTGTTTTCTGGAAGGTCTACACGAGAAAGGAAGCCTTAAAAGAAGGCTTGGATAAAACTGTAAGCCTTCAGAAAGATCTGTCAGAAATGCATGAGTGGATGACGCAAGCTGAAGAAGAATACCTAGAGAGAGATTTTGAATATAAAACCCCTGATGAATTACAGAAAGCAGTTGAGGAGATGAAGGTAAAATAAACCAAATAAAACAGAGAGAGAGAGAAATAGAAAGATATAACATTGCTTGAAATTATGATTCTTCTCAATGTGCTCTTTTCTTTGTTTGATAGTAAGAGGTTGATTTTTAATTAATTTTACTTTAAGGGTGATCTAGAGTATGTAGAACTTTAAAACTTTTCATTAATTTTAATAAATTGTGATTAAAAATGTAAATATTGAATATCACAATTTAGAACATTTCCCCTTGAAATTATATAGTATTAAGAGATGGAATCAGCTAATCACACTAGCTATTTCTAGTAAATGCAAATTCAAATTGAGAATATATCAAAGTATAATGGAATGACAGCTGAAAATGTAGTCAGTAGGCTGTGTTAATTTGGTGATTTAAATGGATTTCTTAGAACATGGATGTACTAAATATTTTAGTTGATGACCTTTAATATGGATAGAAAGGACTGAGCTTACATACACTTCTTGTGAAATAGTATAACAAAATAATAACATTGATTTAGGACCAAGGAAACTGATATGTAGCAGATAATTGAATCTACACAATGACATTTCAGTATGGCTGTGGGCAACACAACAGTCAGTATAATCCTCTAGTTTATCATGTTTAAATTATCTTATTTTCTAAGTTGAAAGTATTAACTGAGTATTGAAACTTACATGTAAGTAAATTGCCTAGCTCAGAGTGGGAAGTAAACGATTTGTGACTATAATGAAAGTTATCTTTATGTACTAGCAGTAACACACAATCTGACCACTTTAGCCTATATGAAATATTGATAGATATTTGTTTGCCTTGAGGCCTCTTGACAGAGCTAAATTATTTTGTAATCAGATTCTTGGGTTTAAATGTGTTTTGGCTCCTTGTCAACTGTGTAACCATGGGTGAGTTACAAAAATCCAGTTTGTTCTCTTTTATATTTAAGTTGCTTCATTAGACTTACTTATTTCCTTAGAATGTTAATTGTCCAAGTTGGATGTCGATTATAGAGAATCCATAGAATGGAATGGGTTCCATTATATGGATTCTTTGTACTTTTGTTTATGATTGAAAATTTCCATAAGATAAAGATTTAAAAAATTACCTTCTTGTGATTAAGAAATAGAGCATCTATTAAAATGTAAATCAATTTCTATAAGAAGATGAATCTTGATATAACATTTCATATCCTGGTACATGGGCCATAAGTGTGAGCTTCCAAGATTGACAGCCAAATTTGAATTCTGACTCAATGTGACCTTGGAAAAATTAATTGACCTCTCCACGCCTTGGTTTCCCTTTCTCTCCCCCTCTGCCTTTTTCTTTTCTTAGTCTTACAATTTTTTTGATTTTATTTTTTTTTCACCTAAGAATAGTGTCTTCTACCAAGGATTGTCACCCCTAAATCCCATATTGAAGTGTCCCAATACTCTCTCTAGGTAAATCACAAAAGCAGTGAATTCACATGGGACACTCTTTTCTTCTACTTGGTTAGAGGAGAGAGTGAAGAGTAATGCAGTATCCTCTACAAGATAAGATGACTTTGCCTTTACCTCTTTGATGCATGATTGATAATTAAAAGTCTAATGTCATAAAATAAAAACAAATCTGAAAAAAAAATCCAGTTTGTGAACTGGGTGTCAAAATAAGTATGTGTGTTTTTTTTTCAAAATTGTTAGAAGGGTGAAACATGAAAGTCCTAATTCAGTGCCTGGTACAAAATAAATGGCAGAACTAGATAAGTATTAGTATTACCATTACTAATATAATTGATGCTGTATAGTAAGAAATTAATTACATGTACATTATTATATAATGTATATGATGACCCAATGCATACTTTTATAATTAATAGCAGAAAGCACTCATGTGAAATCTCAGATGAATAAATATAAAATTTATATTTATTATGAATGAATTTATGGCTTTAGTCATATGAATTTATGGCTTTAGTCATATGCAGAAAGTAAAATTAAGACATAAGTAAAACTATATTTGGATAAACAGTGATAGTTTCTAGAGTACAAAAAACTATAAAATCATTCCACTCATTCCAATTGAATAATACCATGAGTTATTCATTTATTCAAGAACAAATATTTATTGTATACTGTGGGAACCATGCCAGAGACCCTGGAGAGTTAAGGCCTTGTTGTTAGTATTCCAGAATGACCAAGGCCACTCTGAACATGGGAATCTTAATCATAGTGTTCAAGGCTAAGATGCTATACACAGTTGCAAGGCCACAACGATCTCATATAGTGCACTGCACACTTCTGTAGCCAAAATGTTTAATGTCACTCTTGGCAACTGTCCTTCTTTGTCTAAGTGGTATAATACATGTTATTGACCAGGGAGTATGCTGGGGAGAAGAGAGACTATATGAGGCTACAGACAGCTCACAAGAGAGGAGAGAGGGGAGAGACCAGAGAGGCCGGAGAAGCTGTTAAGGCAGAGAGCTCAGATATACCACTACAATGTGGGGCGGTAGGTGTAGAGGCAGCATGTGGCTGCTCTGATAATAGTGGTAGGCTCAGAGGCTAATGCTGATGCTTTGTGGAAAGATGTATCTATTTATCAGCTGGTATGCAGCTACCTGTATAGGATTGTTTTGAAGAACTGTTTTGTCTAATGACTTATGGCCATTGGCTCCTGCAATAAAGACTCATTCTTATACCCCCATAACTTCTCATGGCTTCTCTGTCTAAGACCCGGTGTCCAAGAAGGTCCAGTCCTTGGCAGAGGGGCTCAGCCATGACAATTAGTGCAGTAGGTAGGTTTGAGAAAGAACTTACCCTGTGCTTGGTGTAGTCATTAGCAGAATTCAGAAGAATATATGGATTCAGAGCAACTCAGAGAAGTATTCTAGCTGTTTCTGACACATGCTTACTATGTGTCAAATACCCTTCTAGATACTGAATATAGTGGTGAGCTACCTGGAAAATTGGAATTAACATTCCAGGGTGGGGGCAGGCAATTGATGAAGAAATAAACAAACCTAATTGAGATCATGATAATTTGCCTCAAAAATGAATGAGTGTGAAATAAAGAATAGTTAAACTTCAGGTGGGACTTGAGAGGGGGGGAATGCTATTTTAGAAAGTGTTGACTAATAGAGCATTTATGAGGAGGTATATTTAATCTGAGATATGAATCCTAAGAAAAAGTCAACCTTACAATGAAAGAGAAATACCACATGGCCTCACTCACTTGGGATATTAAAGAACATTATAAACTGACAAACCAAAAGTCAGATATAAAGACAGTAAAGCAACAAGCAGACTGTAAAATTACAGTGGGGAGAGTAGGGAGATCTGGGGGAGATAAGGGATCAACTGAAGGACTTGTATACATGCATATAAGTACAACCAATGGACACAAAACTCTGGGGAGCGAGGGTATGTATGGGAGGGGGGCAATGTTAAAATATGTACACAGATAATAATTTAATTAAAAAAGCTGTGAAAAAAATAAATAATTTTATGGAAGGGTATTCCCATAAGAGAGAAGAGCTCCTGTAAAGACCCTGAGGCTAATTGGGAACAGAAAGAGGCCTATCTCTCTGAAGAGAGTAAACTCAGATAATTGACCAGGAGTGTTTTTGAGGGGATAGGCAGATATCTGTTAACATACGAGTTTTATAGGATACTGAGTTGTTTACATTCTAAGTGAAATTGGAAAGCATAGGAAGATTTCAACTAAGAGAATTACACTTATTTATTTATTTAAATTTTTATTTTTTTAGAGAGAGGGAGGGAGGAAAAGAGAGAGAAACATCAATTTTTGTTGTCCCACTTATTTATGTATTCATTGATTGATTCTTATATGTTGTCCCCTGACTGGGAATTGAATCCACAGTATTGGTGTATGGGGACAATGCTTAAAACAACTGAACTACCCAACCAGGGCTTAATTATTTTAAAGTTTACTGTGGGGGAAGTCACTATCTGAAGGATTATAGTTTTATAGGATATGAGAGCTAGAAGGTACATTGGTAGCAAAATAGTTTGAACTTCTCTCCACTGATCAGAAAATTGAAATCACCAGATAGGCTGAATAATTTAATCATAGTCACAGGTTTTATCTATGGTAAAACCAAAAGGATTTAATATATTCTGTCTCAACACAGTTAGTCCATTCAGCCCAGTACAGCCCAGCCCAGCCAAAGCTGTTCTGTTCTCCTATTCTATTCTATTCTATTCTATTCTATTCTATTCTATTCTATTCTATTCTATTCTATTCTATTCTATTCTATTCTATTCTATTCTATTCTATTCTATTCTATTCTATTCTATTCTATTCTATTCCATCCCATCCCATCCCATCCCATCCCATCCCATCCCATCCCATCCCATCCCATCCCATCCCATCCCATCCCATCCCCTGTCATACCTCACCTCTTTCAATCCCACCTTACCCTCTCTTCTCCTCTCCTCCCTTCCTCTTTCCTCCCCTCACATAGCCTAGCCTAACCAATGACTCATGTACACCCCTGTTGCCTTTCCCTTCACATCTCAATACCATCCAGGCTATTCTCACCATCTCTTCTAATACTCTATAGCCATTCCCTCAGATTCCTAATTAGATACTTAACAGTCAGCTTGTACTCAGCTGCTCTATTTTTCCTGCTTCCTTCCTTTGGCTCTGTCCCTCTTCTGGCTCTTTTCCCTCTCTCCTTGCACAGTCGGCCTATCTGGCTAACAACCCAGTCAGATGATTTTTTTCTTTCCCAGCGATGGAGAACAGACTGTATAAAATTTTCAATTTTTGTAAACAGTCTTAGAAATGAGTGGCCCAACCAATTAGTCTACATAAGTTGGCATGTTTAAGTAACTACTCTAGCTACAAAATGGATGCATTTTGGGAAATATTGACAAACAGAAAAGCTCAGCCAGCCTCTGGCAATAGGAGCAAAGGCAATTGGCAAGAAGATCCCATTTCTTGTGTTTTGTGCCTGCCAGTCAAGGTAACTTCTTTTTGGTCTGTTTCACTATCTAGAGGGTATTGATATCAATTTGTCCAGGCTTCCACCCATGCTCATGTTTAGACAAAAGTTAACTTTATTGTCAAAAGAGACTGACCTACTTTAACATATCTCCCTGATTTAATCAGAGAAAAAAGTAGACACCTCCTTCTGTTTCTTTACTTTGCTCTCATGTGTTCTACTTGAAAAAGATAATGCTGTTTCGATCACTTCTTTTTTCCCTGTAAACAAAACTTTTCAATTAAACATAAAAGAGCCTATGGGAATGTTTTAGATGAAACAGCTCACTTCAAAATTATTTTGGAAGTCTGCAATGACGAGATGCTAAAACTTTATATTTAAACCCTTTAAAAAATTCTGGAATTTCAGTTTCAACTGCTTTCTTATTTAAAAACAACAATACAATATAGTAACTGTAGCCCCAGTACTTATAGTCACTTACATAAGTGCATTTGCTATTCTCATTTATGGGTAACAGGTAAGAATACTGGTTCTCTTGCACTGCTGGTGGGAATGCAGACTGGTGCAACCACTGTGGAGAATAGTGTGGAGTTTCCTCAAAAAACTGAAAATGGAACTCCCATTTGACCCAGTAATCCCACTCCTAGGAATATATCCCAAGAAACTAGAAACACCAATCAGAAAGGATATATGCACCCCTATGTTCATAGAGCACAATCTACAATAGCCAGAATTTGGAAACAGCCTAAGTGCCCGTCAGCAGATGATTAGATCCAAAAACTATGGTACATCTACACAATGGAATACTATGCTGCCATAAAAAGAAGGAATTCTCATCATTTGCAACAATCTGGATAGAATTGGAGAACATCATGCTGAGTGAAATAAGCCAATCAATGAAAGAGAAACACCACATGACCCCACTCATTTGTGGATAATAAAGATCATTATAAACTGATGAACCAAAAGATAGATATAGAGACAGTAAAGCAACAAGCAGATTGTCAAATTACAGCGGGGAGGGGAGGAGAATCTGGGGGAGATAATAGATCAACCGAAGGACTTGTATACATGCATATAAGTACAACCAATGGACATAAAACTCTGGGGAGGGAGGGGATGTGTGGGAGGAAAGGAGGGGGGCAAAAAACCCAATAAAATATATAAAAATAAATAAATAAATAAATGGTTTAAAAAAAAAAGAATACTGGTTCTCACAAGTGAGTGAGCATCAGAATCAAGTGGAGGACTTGTTAAAACACAGACCTCTGGCTCCCACCCTAAGATATATGATTCAGTGAGATTGGGATAGGGCCTGAGATTTTTAATGTCTAAAATCTTTCCAGGTGATGCTAAGGAGTGTTTTCCAAAGAGATTCCAAAGAACCATACTTTGAGAACCGCTTAATTGACATACCAGCATTGAAAGTTGCTTGAGCATATGATGGTCAGGTTCATGTATATAAAGGGAGCAAAAGCCACAATTATAATGAGGAATGTGTCTAAGCTATACAGTCACATAGCTGTCTACCTGTCTCTGTAGTGGCGAAAATTCCTCATCATCTCATTTTCTTTTGTATTATAACTTTTAAAAATTATAGTTTACAGTAAATATTATTTTATTAGTTTCAGGATATACCTTTGTTTTATCATCTCTTAACTTTTCCCAACTTCTAAGCCTATTTTATAAACAATTTATAAAAAACTAAAAAGCAAGGAATTATCATTCTGCATTTTTGACAGTTGTATAGGTTGTTTGTAATTTGTTTAAAATGTAACTTTATTTATTGGATCCACTGAACCATGCTCCTTTATTGCATGGAGTATTTGAGATAGGCTTAATAGAAACTATGAGGAAGAAAAAAAAATTCTAAGAATTATTTACTTAAACTCTCTAAATCTTTGTTTTCTGTTGCATAATGTGTAAATAAGTAAACACATCTCACAAGCTTTTATTAAAGACCCAATAAGATAGCACATACAATATGTCCAATGTAACACACAGCAGAACATACTAAGTGATTAATGGTTGTTAAATTTATTTTTAATGCTCAGATTACTATAGCCAAATATGGTTTGTGTAGAAACATCCCAAGCTCAATGATGGAAAAAAAAAAAAAAAAAAAAACAAAAAACAAAACACAACTCACACAGATTTAGTCAGAATTTTGAATTAAACATTTAAATCAATTAAACTAAAATCAATGAAGACAATCATTTTATAGTCAAAACAACTTTCATTTGCCATTATTGTATTCTTTTTGTAGTATTATGGGATGAAATCCAAAAGCATGCACTGATTGTGTTAAAATACATAGATACATTTTATAGGTCACCTTGTCCAGACCTTGTCCAATTCTTGCCCACATCACCTTACTCTCAACTACTGCAGTGTGTGTAAGTCCAGCTTCCACATGCTACTTTTCCCACCTGTGTGCCTAGCTTCATGTACTTGGAGATTAACATTCCCCCAGCAGCCTTCAACCAATGATGATATATAAATACCCAGGTGTCCTCATTCCTGGGTGGAATAACCTTGAGCCATGCATTTCCCAGAGTTTCCCACCAGCTTTGAACTCTAGTTGCCAATAGTAATTGCTGGTTTAATAAGTATACCTTATAATTTCCATCCACTTTCCTGCCTCCATTCCCCATTCCCCTACTGTATTTCCTATACATCACACATGGAACTACTTGTGCCTGAAAGCTCATCTCAAGGTTGGTCTTTGGAGTAACCCAAATGAAAGATCCATTGTGTGTGTGCATGTGTGTTTGTATTTGTATTTCTAACATGTACACATTGGAAATTGAGTGTAAACACCACCTCTTCAGCCAAAGATCAATAGTGATACCTCTGTAGTTGAACAAGTTGGGTTTATTACTTTTGGTAATGAGGGAGAATGCATGCCACTGGGAACCTGTTTATACAACATGGGGTTGTGTGAGTAAGAGAATATCAGAAATAACCTATTGTAGGATTTGAGTTTGCATTAGATGATTTGAGGGAGAGTTAAAAGGCTTTTAAAAAATATTTTGTTGATTTTTACAGAGAGAAAGAGAGAGGGATAAAGAGTTAGAAACATCGATGAGAGAGAATCATTGATCAGCTGCCTCCTGCACACCTCCCATCGGGAATGTGCCTGCAATCAAAGTACATACCCTTGACCGGAATCGAACCCGGAACCTTTCAGTCTGCAGGCTGATGCTCTATCCACTGAGCCAAACTGGTTTTGGCTAAAAGGCTTTGTTTTGGATTGCATGTTGTCAGTAAGTGGGAATAACTCTATCATAAGGTATTTTTGTAATTTTTTCCCTAGAAGTAGGGAAGACTAGAGTAAGGTGGAAAGTATAATTGATAAAGATGCAGGGGTAACTTATACTAAACAGAATAGGTATGTGTTTGGTATTTTGTTGTTTGGACAACTTTTATCTTCTTATCTATATTCAAATGTGATTATGTAGTGATGTATTGTCATGATGTGTGATGCTAACAAAGTAGCCTTGTCTGATGTTGATATTCTGTCAAATAGTATCTTCAACAGGAGATGATTAAGGCATAGTTGTGAGTCCCAGGCCAGTCCTTTCATGTTAGTGGCTGCTATTTCCCTTCTCTTTCTTTTTGTGTTTTCAGTTACTTAACAGAACTTTCTGTTATCAACATATGGCCTTATATGTAGAATTAAGACTTTTCTTTATTAATTATATTTTCATTTAAATAATATTCATACTGATTTCAGTATTACTCATCCATCTGAATAAGTTATATTATTTTAATTCTATACCATGAAATATTTTTGAAATTGGTATTGAAATATTTGTTTCATGTAGATAAAGATAGAGAAATACAGATATCTACAAATATGTACCCACATACAGATTACTTTTCAAGATCTATTATATTTTGATTATGATTTTTTCTTTCAAGTTCCCAATTTTAACTAAACCTAAATGTATGGAAATGATTGGAATCAATATTAGGTTTCTTTTTATTTATCTCACTCTATTAGAGGTATTCTGAGGAAGGAAGTATATGATAGATAGGAATACATTTTGGATGTAAAATCCCATCTTGTTATTAACAGAACATTCTTTATTGTTGTTTTTTTTTTTTTTCAGAGAGCTAAAGAAGAGGCCCAGCAAAAGGAAGCCAAAGTGAAACTCCTTACAGAGTCCGTGAATAGTGTCATAGCTCAAGCTCCACCTGTAGCACAAGAGGCCTTAAAAAAGGAACTTGACACTCTCACCACTAACTACCAGTGGCTCTGTACCAGGCTGAATGGGAAGTGCAAGACTTTGGAAGTCAGTTTTTTTTTTCTTGATTTTTATCATTTATGTGTCAATTTATGGTCATATGCGAAGCATTGTGATTAAACACATGGACTTTGGTATAAGAATACTTAGGGTCAAATTTTTCACTTAGGCACTTATAATTTGGGACTTTGGCCAGTTGCTTAACTTATGTGTAAAATGAACATAAAAATAGTACCTATTTCATATGGTATTGAACAAATGAAATGAGGTATTCTGTTTAAAGTACTTAGCCTAGTGCTCAGTAAATTTGAGTAGCTGTCATCCTAAGTGTTCTTATTATTACCATTATTATCATTGTTATTATTATTATCCTTTCTAACCTCTCTGTGCACTTAACTTCCCTCTTTGTTTCTGCCACCTGAGGCTTTTTCATATTTGTTTCATAGATGAGCTATGTAATTAAAATGCTTTCCTTTATATTTAATTCAGCATATCTATAAGAGTGATGCAGGGGCAGGGTATTTCCACATCAGCATCATTTACCATTTGGAAGGAAAGTTTCCTTTTTTGTTTGTATTCTCTTCAAAGTCAATTTCATTTCTGTGATTTCAAAGTAATTTTAAGTTCCAAACAGTTAAGCTTAACTGTTATTGTAAGTGGCTTTTAGCTCCATTTCTGGCTGCAGGAGTGTGTTTTATTTTGCCAAGGTGACCTGTAAAGTTGGTACATTCAGCTTCTCCAGCTGTGTGTGTCCTTCAAATGCATTGGGGACACAAGAGTCCATCTATCCTGATGGTTAAATCAGCAAGGTAGTCCATTAGCTCAATCTGCATCAAAGTTAAAAAGACAGATTACCAATCACATCTTCAAAACTCTAAAGTACCCTCGGGTATTTAAGGAGATATTTATATTTTCCTGTTGAGTTCGTTGCCCAGAAGGAAGACAGCCTATAGTACAGCAGGAGCTGGAAATGACCCAGATTTAAGATTTCTATAATCTTTTAAAGCAAAATACTTAATTTCACTTTATGTGATAAACTATATGCAAAATACCAATTAAGTATTGGTAGGTTAGACTAATTATTTTCATCACTTACAGAGGAACTGTCTTCTATCATTTGCAAGGGCTATGAGCAAAGGTGAAAATATAGGGAAACTGATAGAATTTAATTTCTCCTTAAATAAAAAATTGTTCCCAGATTTCATTTTTGGTAGAAGTTGGGGAGAAGATACTGTAGCAGGTGGTAGGAATTGTGCTATTGTATTTTATAGTTTTTTTTCAATATTTATAACCTCAGAGCTAATGAAAAAATGACTATATTCTTATCCTCCAGTGTATCTTCCTGCTTTTATCAGTACGGACATAATCATTATCCAGAAATTGGCCTTTATTATCCCTTTGCTTAAAATGCAAATAAAAATCTAATATGATGTTGATGAATTATTTATTTATTTAAAAGAGTAAATCACTGAACCTTGAATTTATTCATAAAATAAAATATTTCCTTAATGATTTGTTATTATGGATATATTAAGTGACCAAAATGACTAGTTTCATCTTCAGTTATCTACAGTAATGCTACATTTTTAGAAGTTTTTTTAAAAATGGAAATGCTGAAGTCTCATAAGTACTTTTTTATTAAAATAGTTCATCTGGGATATTTCTTTTTTAGGAGGTTTGGGCATGTTGGCATGAGTTACTGTCTTACTTGGAGAAGGCAAACAAGTGGCTGAATGAAGTAGAATTGAAACTTAAAGCCACTGAAACTATTCCTGGTGGAAGTGAGGAAATCGCCAAGGTGTTAGAAGTAAGTTGTGAATGAATCTAAATGATGACACTTTACATGCAATTTTGAAAGTTATTAAGTACCAAATAAAACATAAATTCAAAATAGCACAGAGTCTAGTTGCCATTCCTCCTCCTGCACTGGCGTTTAGAAGAAGCCTTAGTCTTCTCTAAGAAACTTTCAGTCTCAAGGTTTGAAAAAGAATTTAAATAACCTCTTATAGAGGACATTAACCTTTTCCCATATCAGTAAGTTCTATGTTGACACTTTTCTTTTCCTGCTTAAATCTGCTACAGACTTACAAAGACAGTTTGAATGCATACTTTTGCTCCTTTGGAGTAAGGCTAAAGAGGATAATAATGTAAACTTATTTCCCAGTTTAAGGGCTACATTTATTGAATTGGGAAATTAAACAAATATTAAAAATCATAGGTTGATACCATATGGAATGTTTTGGTTTACTAAGTGAACATGTTTTGATATTAGAAATATATATTTAGCATGTTCATATGTCTTAGTACATTCCAAATTTTAGTATATTTTAAAGCTTTATTTTGAAGTTCTTTAAAAAATAAAATGAAGGAGTGTACATGTGTCAGTTTGGGTTTGTGTGTACTTATGGTATTTAATCATTTATGTTGTATGCATTTTATTGTACTTTTGTTTACTCCTTTATATAAAATGAATATGTAGGTTAGCATATGTATTGTATGTAGAGCCATCCTCTATATGAATATGCTAAAATAAGGTACATACATTAATTAAGATGTGAAGAATATGCAAAATGTTTCTTAAGACAGAACAGAATTGGGATCTTAGAATTTCCCAGCAGAAACCTAAATATTATTGTATCGAACTTTCTTATTTTCAAAAAAGAATTGTAAAACCTGAACAGGTATCAAAGAACAGTGGGAGAGGTCCCACGTGGACCGTAATTTTGGTGCTGTCCAATTTAGAGAAGTTCATTGACCAAACACTGCTCGTGTAAAAGGATGGAGGCCAGAACAAAGAATGTAAAGTGCAGTTAGTTATCCTACTCAATGATCAGATTGAAGGACCTCATTCTTATTTTTATTGCCTCCTAGTCCAACAATGGCTACTTTATCTCTAAGTCCTAGGTGTGTAAAATTGTGTAAAGGGCGGAAGGATTTCTTCTAAAAGGACTGTTCCTTTTTATTTTAATTTGGGGAAGAGAACCTCTTAAAGTTATTTTTTCATATTATATCATAATCATGTTACCTGGCCTTTAATAGCTCCAAGAGAAATTGAGTATTTTACCTTTCTAGATTTTAGAGTGCAGGTCATCAAATAAGAAGGTGACTGTGAATCATTTTAGGTACCTCAATCCACAATCTTGCCATAAGCCCATGAAGATTTACATACCGAAACATCATACAGGTGGCAGCAAAAGTAGATTTACCTTACTGCGTACACAAAACAATAGTTTATATTCTTGTATTATTGGTTGTAAATTGTATTATTTTTATATGAGCATCTGCAAACCTATTTTGCCCCACCTTGTACTTTTTTTTTTTTTTACAATAATAATGATCTTTTATGTTTTATGGTCCCGTTTTAATATTGGTTTAAATTGCTTATAATTTAATTTAAGTAAATCAGAAGACATGATGCATTTTTGTTAATTCAACATATTTAGAAAATAAAGAAAAATAGTAATTTTTGCAAATGTGTTTCAGTCACTTGAAAATTTGATGCAACATTCAGAGGATAACCCGAATCAGATTCGCATATTGGCACAGACCCTGACAGATGGTGGAGTCATGGATGAACTGATCAATGAGGAGCTTGAGACATTTAATTCTCGTTGGAGAGAACTACATGAAGAGGTATGATGATAAGAGTGAAAAAATATCTTTAAACTAATTTGCATAAACATCTAGCAAACACATTTAGGGTTCTCAGATAAAATGAGGAATATTTATTTTTTAAACATTTTTCTTGACTTCAGTGAGGAAGGGAGGGGGGAGAGAGATAGAAACATCAATGATGAGAGAGAATCATTGATCAGCTGCTTCCTACAGACCCCACACTGGAAATGGAGCCTGCAACCCAGGCATACACTCTGACCAGAATGGAACCCAGGACCCTTCAGGCTGTAGGCCAAAGCTCTATCGATTGAGCCAGACCGGCTAAGGCGAAATGAGGAATATTTAAATATTAGCCCAGCTTCCATGTTTTAGAAACTGTCACTTGCTATACATGGCTGAAATATTTATGTGTGCATTATATCATTTTATCTAAAAATGTTTTAGAGTATGGGTTTGTACATGAAACTAAATATAGTGTATTTTAAAAACAAAATTATATAATACACATATTGGTGCTTAAGGTGGGAATTTAGCAGTATTTAGCTAGATGGGCAACAATTGGCCACCAGAGCTTAGAAAAACTCAGAGGTTCTGGGGTTAGGGGGTTGTTTGGCAGAGCACCCACTGGGTCTGCTCTAGTACTTATGGAGCATCCAGGTGGGACTATTCCATAATCCAGTAAGAGAGAGATAACCAGCCCTGAAGTCAAAGAGAGTGATTCGGACTAGTTATACACATAGTGTATTTATCAGGTTACATGCTAGTCACAACTGTAGAGTTCATGAGATCACCCCAGGTAACCAAGAAGAAAAAAGAATCACGGACAGTGTTAGGAGTTAAACCCCAAATCAAGTTTTAGACAGAGTATACAGTGTCAACAAAGGAGATTAGAAGTCATGGTCAAAAAGATAGAGGAGACTCCAGTTAAAGCTAGGGTGCTTAGGAGGTAGGAGTCATGAAAAAATGTCAATAGTAAGGTCAAGTAAGATGAGGGAATTAGGCATCGACCAGAGAGGAGTTGGGAGGCTCGGTGAAAAAGGTGAAGGGATTAAGTACAAATTGGTAGTCATAGAGATGTAAAGGATAGCATATGCAATATTCTATATAATAAAACGTTAATATGCAAATTGACCAAACCACAGAACAACTGATCACTATAATATGCACTGACCACCAAAGGGCTGACACTCTACTTAGGAGATGCTCCCTGGTGGTCAGTGAGCTCCCACAGGGGGATCGCAGCTCAGTCAGAAGCTGGGCTTATGGCTGGCGAGCGCCGTGGCAGTGGCAGGAGCCTTTACCACCTCAGCAGCAGCGCTAAGGATGTCCGACTGAGGGTTCCTGGACTGCAAGAGGGTGCAGGCCGGGCTGAGGGACCCCCCCTTCCCCGTCGAATTTTGTGCACCAGGCCTCTAGTAGTCAATAATATAATATCATAATAACTATGTATGGTGTCAGGTGGGTCCTTGAAACATGGGGGACCACTTTGTAAAGTACATGATTGTCTAACCACTATGCTGTATATCTGAAATCAATACAGAACAATATTGAATGTGAAATATAATTTAAAAATGAAAAAATTAAAATTAAAAAGCACAAAAGACATCACTTATGACCTTGACTAGAGCAGTTTAGGTAGATTTTCCCAGGGCATAGAGAGACTCTGGTGACAGTGTTACAGAAGACATTAGAGAGGAAAAGGGGGAAAGTAAGTATAATATGTACTATCCTTGTGAGGAGTTGGCTATCAAGGGAAAGAAAGGTTCTAAGGGGGCATGGTAGCCAGGGAGGTCTGCAGGAAACCTTTTGCTAATTAAGCTGGGGAGAATTTTGATCATGTTTTAAATTGGAAATAAAGAAGTCCTCAGTAGAACTTTGTCCAGTTCTGAAAAGAAGTAGGTGATGTTGGGTAGATTGATATTTTGATATGGAATCAGTATGTACTTTTTTACTGCATTGGAATATTAGTGTCATAAAAAATTTATAGTTCAAGCAAAAAATCAGGACACATTATAAAACTGACCTTGGCAAAGCTATGAAAAGACCTCAATTTTAATCTTTAGCTGTGTTCAGAATTTCTCTATTATGTGCTTAGAAATAGCTTGCTTTCTAACCTGATCTTGGCATCAGCCTCATTTATGTACTCTTGCAAACCTTTAATAACACAAACACTGTTATGTGTTTATATTTCAAATGTCTTTGGTTTGCAACCTGACATTTTCCATAAATAAATAATAATTCTACTCAACAACAAATCTTAACTGCGCACCTACTCTTATATCCAAACTGAGTTATTAGAACATTGAATAACTAATCAGAAAAATTTGGGTTAAAACAGTCCCTTGTATTAGACAGTATCAGATGGGTCACAGGAACTATGCAGTAAGTTGCACAGGGTAGGTTTAATGCCAATGACTACTAACTATTTACTGGGAATCATTTTTTAAGAGAGAATAGACAAGAACTCAAAAGAATACCCAAGGCCTGAGGGATAATACACGAGAAAAGAACTAATTTGGAAATCAAGATCTACCCAAAGCTGGTATTCAAACTTTTTTTGGAAATTGTCCCCAGCCCACTAATGGCAAAAACATTAACCAGGTTTACCCAATCCATAACTATTATATAGTCAGGGGTAGATCCAGAACCACAGGCCAAACCAGAACCACAGATGTAAGACATAAGAACACACTGCCACAGATAAACCTTTACCTCACCCAGTGTCACTCCAGTGTCCTCTAAAGGGAAAACGCAGTGTCATGCCAGCTGGCAAAGATAGATCCCAGTATCATCAAGAGATCAATGTTGAAAAACAATGAATTGATAACTGGCAATTCCCCTATACCTCATTGGCTTTGTGATCCTGGATAATATTTTCAAGCTCCCATTTCTGTACCTTTTATAACAGATCCTGTTTCATAGGGTTCTCCTGAGCAAAATAGAAATCACTTCATAGAAAGTGCTTATTTCAGTGCTAAGAACACAAAGCATATTTAAAAAATGATTATAATTTTTATTTTTACCAGTCTCTATGCTATACCACTTAACTTCAAAGCACAACTCACCAAGATCATGAATATACAAACACTTATATTCTAATATTAAAAATAATGAAATGTACCCACTTTCATTATTTAAATAAAATGCAGAAAACTGATAAATGTACTTGTTTCATCATTCTCTTAGTCTTAAAATTGAAAGCTTTCCATTTCTACTTCAATAATCAATTAAGCAGAATGCTACAATAACAATAAATAAAGTTGAAATAAACTTGAAGCCATTATCTGCCCTGGCTATGCTTATATAGAATATCTAGCCACCTGAGAGTAATTTGGCAGTGAAAATAAAACACATTTAGTGCTTTAGAATTTTGATAAAAACCAGGTCTGTTAGAGATAATAGCCTTCTCAAATTCTGTTGTGCTTGCCTCTAATAAGCTGGTGTGACTTTAAAGATATGATGTTGAGTTAAAACGGGGAGTAACAGGGTTTTCCTATTTTTCAGGGTGTAATCTCAGTGCTTTGATCAATGCCAAACTATTTAGGTAATAGAGACACACCTAATAATTTGTTACTAAATCACTTTGATGTTCTTATTGAGAATTTAGTTGGAAAGACAGGTGTTTTGATGCAATGTAGATGGAACCTCAGATAAATTAGCTAGGGGGCTTGGAAATAATTACAGTAACAGACCTTTTAAATTGATTTATTTTTCAACAAAATACATGTTGTATATTAGATTTTTATAGTCAATTTCCTGAGTTTGTTTTATGTCATAATTTTATTCTTTTTGTTGTTGGTTAAGGAGAAACAGTTTTTCATTTATAAACAAAGTGCTCTTTCACTTGAAGATGAGCCTTGGCCCATTTTCTTCTCAATTAAATGCCTATGTCAGAGGTTTGTGGTGTTTTTTTTTTTAAATATATTTTATTGATTTTGTACAGAGAGGAAGGGAGAGAGATAGAGAGTTAGAAACATCAATGAGAGAGAGTCGTCGATCAGCTGCCTCTTGCACACCCCCTACTGGGGATATGCCCGCAACCAAGGTACATGCCCTTGACCAGAATCAAACCTGGGACCCTTCAGTCCCCAAGCCAATGCTCTATCCATTGAGCCAAACCGGTCTTGGCGGTTTGTGGTGTTTTTAATTGCCTGCCCAATGTTTTTTATAGATGCAATTATGAAGAGCAAAGGTAACATTCAATTGCCTTCGAAATCAATCAAACAACCAGATATTTTATTGCATATGAATATTTAAAAGTAACACGCTAGATCTCTTTCCTAATTTCAGAGTGTGAGTTTGCATTCAAATAAGTAATAAATTATTTCCATTCCTTGAAAAGTCATCATTCACGCTTCATAATCACATGGCACTATATTTTCTACTCACACTAATGATTTGAAAGATTGTTAGAAAACCAGGAAGAGCTCCAAAAATCATACCGAATCATCTATTTTTACAACTTATTATAGTGTAAACAAGCTACAGAAGATGTTAGTGATAAAGCAAAATGCATAACAACAGAAACATAATTGTATAATGGGTACAAAGGCTCAGATACTGCTCTAAGTGTCTGCAATGCATTTTCTCATTTGTTCTAACAATACTCAATGGTATAAGGTATTTCCATGCCCATTTTATAGATTTGGAAAAGGTATAAAAAGCCACAAAGATTGTGAAAGGCTACTGATCATTTGGACCCAGTTCATTGTGCTTGAACCTGAACACATGACCATCTGACCCCACTAACTTCCATCTCAAAATGGTGGCCAAATACACAGATCTATCAACCACCCCCTCCCAGGGCCAGACTGGAAATACAGCTAAATTGGAGAACGTTCATTTGAATTACCAACTGAGGTCCAGCTAAGCAGGAGACATATCAAGACAAGACAGAAAACATCTAGAGACCACACCTCCAAAAGAACTCACAGGACAATTTGGGGATGAACCACATAGTCAGCGAGCCTGAGGGGAGATTCCATCCACTATTGGAACAATAACATTCAAGACCAAAC